TTTATAAAGAATTGAAAATTTTCATTCTAACATCAGTTAATGTCTAAAAAGCGATCTTAATACTAATTAATTCCAGATTAGTTAATCTTCTACATATATGTCTACACATATTCTCTCGGCTCATCCGCCAGTTAAACCCCCGCCTTCAACCGCCGTTCCATTCCAAGAAAGATCTAAACCGGACTTGTCATGGCCAACCACCCAAACCAGATCTCAAAATCCGGGGCTTACACTGCCTATATCTACACATACACACACATTGGCTCCACTTAGGAAAAAAAACCCGGAAAAATCTACATTCCCGGTTTATGTTCTCGCCGGCTGAGCTGCCGAACTTTGTACTTCCGGTGGTTTAAGTAAATTCTTATGACCCTTCAGGTTCTTTCCTCTTCTTACCAGATCTTCTGTTTGCTCTGCTGCTTCTTTCTTGCGGGTCTGAAACAGGTTGTGACTTCTGGTCTGGTAAGCTGATCGGAGGCTTTGTTTCATCCATAGGATCGGACTGAGTTATGGCTTTATCATACATGATAGCTGCATCGAGGGAGAATATACGGACGGATAACGCAGAGAGAGTCGAGATTTTAGCAGCAGCTGAAAGAGAAGACCAGTACCACCATTCATTCTTCAAGTACTCTGTCTTGATCATGTCTTCTACTACAATTGTTGCCTGAACCAACTGAAATAAAATATGAAAGGGATAGACATTAGAAAATCGAGCTTGTTTTGTATTTCTATAGATAGAAAGGAGGAAAGGTATCAAGGATTAAACCTCGTAAATGCTTTGTGCGGATTTAACAAATGCACGCCAAGCTCGTCTACGGTCTGGGTGTGATTTCGATGGTCTTAAAGCTTCTTCAGGTATTGCCACATCCATATCAAGCAAGTTGGTTTTAAGGAACCTGAAAACCGGCAAAGCTTTGCCGCTTATGCGTTTCAAAGAAGCCTGTGGAACCACACAGCAGCCTTTTAACCCACTACCTGAAGATTTCTTATTCTTTTGCTCTGAGAAGCCAAAACCAAGTCCGCTCAGTTTATTCAGTGGACTGCCAAGATCATTTGTGACAAATCTATCTAATAACGCGTTAGATTCAGATTTTAAGCCTTCACCATGGGCTTCAGAACCAGTTAAAATGATCTGATCTCCTGAATCGCCACCATCTAGCTTATTGGAAGTGGCAGAGATGAGCATTGAGTCGTTAAGATGAGGAGATGACGACGGAAGAAATGTTGGAATTCCATTTGAACCGATCAGACCGATCTCTTTAACCAAATCTCTGTTAGAATCCTTTGTCACAAACTTGGAACAGATCTCCTCAAAATGGTATGGGGAAATAGACTCTTCTTCTTGATATCTTATCAACCCAGAGTCAAGTTCAGAAACATTGGACATGTCAGCTACATTTTTGCCGGCGCTAGACTTAACATTAAGATGATCAGATTTCAGACTCTCTTTTGCTTTCGAAGCTTCAGAGATTTCCTTGCCTTCCTCAGTTGCTGATGAATAAGGAATACACTTACTCTCGGTGTGCTCCTCAAATTCATCATCACTTGCGAATGTTTTGTGGCATATGAGGCAGTGAATCATGGATGGCAAAATGGATTCCAAGCATTCGCATCTACACAGTTTCTCTCGCTCTGCAACCTTTGTCTTCTTCCCCCGTTTTTTTAAGGTTTCGGTCTCTAATTTGATGCATGGACCATATCTTTGTTCCATTGACATGTTAGCCTTTGACACAAGACTCCCAACCAATACTGGAGGGGACAAATCTTGAGCTTGTTTCGTTTCCTTTTGAAGATCTCCAAATCGTAACCCTTTCCAACACAAAATAGACTCTCTTAGATCTCTTTCTTTCGGGTCATCATCATGAAGCCATTGGACAAGCTCACTGATCTCAGATTCAGTTTCATAATACGTCCAGGGTGAAACCATTAGTCTTCCATGGTCAACGGCATGGAGAAACGGGGAGGGGGCTTTTGAACCTGTCAAATCAACTTGTACGGATTTCTGCAAAGATATGCTTGCATCAACCAAAATACGAGGATGTTCTTCTGGGAAGCAGCAACCCCAATATAAACGACCACTAGCATCACTTCCCAGAAAGTCTCTTCGTATAGATTGTCTTAGAAGCTGTGATTCTATGCTTCTGATTGATTGCTGCAGATTCTGTATTTCATAACTAGTGGCTTTCAAATCCTGTTGACAAGCCTGCAACTCTTGGGAAGCCAAAGAAGATGCATCCTGAGCAATCTGCAATTCCACTGCATTGGCTTTCACAGAGTGTGTTTCAAGATTCCTTCCGACTGACTTATGCAAGGTCTCTGAGGTATCTTTTTCACAAGACAGATTACCTGTGACATGAGGAGAAGCATCTGCTGTTGGCAACTCGTGCCTCGCAGGGGATGTAACCTTTTTCGGGGAGGAAATCTTGCTCTCACCGGAAATGACACCTGAGTTAGGAAATGCATCTGTCTCAAGCGAAGATTTCTCTAGATTCTTGTTAGGAAATGCAGCAGAGGAAGTGCGATCATCATGAGTAACCCTGACTCCAACACCCTCCTGTGGTTGTTGATCACATCGAATGTGGTCTGCAAAGCTACTTGAATTTTGTAGTTCGCCCATTTCCTTCAGAATACTAGGCTCAACCTTTGCGAGTTTAGCCATCAAGAATTCTTCCCGCATTTTCATGTTTTTCCATTCTGAGGAAAGAGAGCGTAACTTCTGCTGCATTTCAATTATTGCTTCGGCACACTGCTCAAGGTGTTGATGAACAAGGGATGAGCTAAGCAGTTCATCGCATAGAAGCTTAAGCAGCAGGATTCTCTGCATCAGAACAAAAAAAACGTCAACCAGATTATCAACAGAAACAGCACCATATGCTTGTAAGCATTCAAAGACAGAGAGCAGTGGCAATAGCCATCATTCCAAATTTTGGCTTAAAGAATAGTTTTCTCTCAGTACTCTTTATTCATTTCACTCAATTTAACTGGAATTTGACAGGGTACAAAATAAATATCTAAAGACTTCCTCTCTTCCGAAAGATACCTACGTAATCCACAGCATGTGCAAGGGTCAAATATAATACTGGTAGCAACTCATAAGCTAAAGATCACATATGAAATTCCAATCATGGTCTTTATCTCCAAGATAGGAATGAAAGGTGAGACATGTCGGATGAATGAGTAAAAAATAAAAGAGAAGGTCAAAAACTGACCTCCTCAGCACTGAACTCCCAGTAGTCTTTTTCCTCCATCACATCTGCCAGGTGCGCAGTCGTTTCCATAGAAGCTCGAGTAAGTTCTCCTTGATACTTTCTACCTTTCCGCTTTCTGATTAGTTTGTAAGATTCCAAAGCATCTTCAGCCATGCGCTTGGCAATGACACAAGATGGACAATACCAATTTCCATCAGGAATTCTAATGAGAGGTGGATTCAAACAATATGTGTGATACTCAGCATCGCATGTATCACACAAGAGAACACTGTCATCATCTTTGTCAACACCACATACTTTACATACCCCCTCATCCCACGGGGCCCTGGGAAGCTCATTTATTGAAACAACTATGTCCTTAATTTCCTTCTTCATCTCTGCACTTAGGCATTCCAATTTTCTGTAGTCCATAAGTTTCTGAACAAGTGGTAGAACCTATACAGCAAACAAATAAAGTCTTGAAACTTGTGAAAATAATTGCACCTCAATACTGCAACTATTTTCATAGAAAACCGAGACCATGCATACAAATTCAGAAAGGCGAGCACAACGACAATTATACATGCACACAAAAGGAAGAACCCTTCTAAATCATATAGCATTAATGAACATCTCCAGATTATTCTTTGATCTCAAAGGCCTATAACTTTCACAAAAACAAGACTAGACAAATTTGTTCAACGAAAATGCCAAAAAATATAAATGACTGTCTCTACCATCTGACTTCAAGATGCTACTAAGTAATGAGTATATCTTAATGTGCAGAGCATAGCATAGCATAAGAAGGAGAAAGAAGACAAACCTCAGCTTCGTATAATGACTTAAATTTTTCAGACAATGTTTCAACCAGTTCTACACAGTCAGGCTGATCCGAATATATAGCACGTATACAGCTCCACAGCTGCAAATCAGAAAGTTAAAGTTATCATGTCATCCAGGAAAAAGATCAAGTTGCATTCATTTCGACTTCTACTCATAGCTAAAACGTTATCCAACAGCTGAGACAGCAAAAATATTGGTTACCTGATACTGCTGTGACATAAAGAGAAGCAAAAATATTACAAATATAAAGCTGGTACTTGCAATACTTGTATATTCATGAATCTAAACTAGTGTGAAACTAACAGCATAAAGATGCAACGACCAAAATGAAATTATCGCACTTTTACTATAAGAACTCAGAAACTAATTCTTAGATCGTACAAAAGGAATCATGCTATCAATTGCAATAGAAAATCACAACGAGAATCCCACCTCAAAAACATCCTCAAGAAAAGCTTCAGTGGATCCATTGTATGCACCAGCAGCCAACCTCAGATCAATAGTTCTGAAGTCTAAGGGACGTGAAACCATCGCAGGTGATCCCAGGAGACCGTCATCGTCATTATCACAGAAATTCAGCAACTTTCGCCCCAGCAAAGTGCAAAATACTTTATCCTCGTCTGCAGCTGCAACATTACGCAATACAGCCCGACATTTCTTCATAATGACATCGGATACACCTATAGACGTCTTCTTTTTGGTTCCTTTAACAGTTCTCTGCACCAAATCTCCACCTTTAACATCCGCTAGCAATGAGAGGACAGCTTTC